TGGGTGCTTCCCCAATGAAATTAAGTGGGCTGAAAAATCTAATCCCACAAGGTCAGAGGCTTTATGATCCTATTTATACAACACTCTTGAAATGACAAAATTATAGAAATGGAGAGAAGATAACAGTTAGTCATTGCCACAAGTTAGGGGGAGGGTGTGCATGCAGTAGGTATGGCTATAAAAGAACAACATGGGGGAATGCTCAGGTGATGGAAATAGTCTACATTTGACTATATCAGTGTCAACACCCTAATTTTGCTATTGTACTATAATTTTGCAAGACATTACCTCTGGGGGTAAAGGGTACTCTCTGTATTATTTCTTATAACTGCATGCATACAAATATGCAATTATCTCAAAATAAATTGTTTAATAAATGAGCTGCCAGCATGTAAAAATTAGAAAGATCAGCTTCAAGTCTTTAAAAATCAGAGGATGGGGCAGTGCTGGTCTTACATTTCTCCATAGTAACAGTCCTGTGTCCCTGCATTTACAATGTATCTGGCCACTTTCCTGCATCTGAATTACCTGGTGGGATCCCCACCATACCTTCAGTCCTGCATATTGGGTCTCTTGTAAGATTCTCTTTGACAAATGGGGTCCACTGCTTACATACTCTAAAACCACTAGTTGCATCCAAACTGTCCTATTATGAAGAGGAAGCCAAGGCCCAGAGACATCATGAATGGGATAAAGCCACATGGAAGCCCAGCTGCAGAACCATGATCTAAGTGCCAGCCTCTCTGAGGTCAGGGAGAAGGGTCAGAGACAGGATGAGCAGAGGCCCTGGGGCAGGGCCACACAGCCATGCTGATAACACTAGAGACCATCCCAGAGAGACCTCCCAGTTCACAGACACAGCCACTTCATTTAGCCAGGCCTGCAGCCTTTGTCATCGGTGCTCAGCAACAGGGCAGAGACACTTCTGGAGCATCTTGAGTCTAGTAAGCCTACTCTGCTTGGAGCTGTTTGAAAATTCACAGCCAGCCAGAGAGAGTGAGGAGAAGGAGGAAGAGGAGAGATGGGAAGAGAGAAAGAAAGGAAGAGAGATCCTGGGACACCCACAAGGGCTGCTCAGGGGACATCTAGGACTGTCCTGGTCTCTCCAGTTATGGTTTTCAAACTTGCCAGGCTGGCAGAACACTGAGGACAAATACGTCCACAAAACACAGGTAACTTTTACCATGGCTAGCCACTGCTCCTCATGAGGGTTCCCTTTAAGGGAGGGCCCTGAGCTAGGCAGCACCATAAGAATCAGCCAAGTGAATGGGGACAGAGCTGCATGTGCCAGGGAGGGGGGAACCAGTGAGTCCCTGCTGTGTTGGAAGTTTCAGGTAAGGGCAGGTAAGGAGAGGAAAAAGAACCTTGGATGGTTGCACAATGGAGAAGGGATTTCTTGGGGTGGTGGAATTATGTTGTTTGTGGAGGGGTATGCAACCAACCTTCATCTTCAACTCGTCTGTGAAGTCATCACTAAAATCAGCTTTGTTCCTTAACTCTTGGGGACTCACAGATGAAGGTTCTTTATCTAGGTGAGCAGCTGGGAAACATGGAGACTGTACTTATAGATAGTGGTGCCACAAGCTAGGGGACAGGGGATGCCTGGGCTACATGTTGGGGTCCTCTGGGATGGTTACATCCAGTGGGATCCAGATGCTTCACAGATTCAAGCTCTGCCTTTCATGAAACTAGGCTTGTTCCTACTCCCAGCCCCACCAGGGCTGCCCCACATGGACCTGACCTTCCAAGCCATCAGGGTCCCAGATCGCCTTTCCAAAGTCAGAGGGAAGCTGTGGTGTCTTCTCTGAGATTAGAGGCTCGGCTTTTGGAGGGAGGCACTGTTTGTGCTCTGTCATTTCAGAGGAGGCTGGGAGCCACAATGTTACCGGCACCCACTAGGGCAAGTTTGGTGTGGAAGCTGTCAGCAGGCTAGTATTTAAGTGTACTTGGGCAGTTAAGTGTACTTGGGTCTTTCCTGGGATGGGAACCAAATCCACAGCTGATATCTGGGCTGTTCAGGGGCCTGCCTCACCTATAAAGACAGAGTCTCTGGAGATTAGACTTTGCCTTGGCTGGCCAGCAGGTTAGCACTGGAGCCTTGGAAGGAGCCTGTTATCAGATACCAGAGACACTGTCAGAGTGTCAGAGGGTACAAAGCCAGGGCCCACTGAAGGGGGTGGAGGGAAAGCAGGGCTGTGAGCTGCTCTGGGACTCTGTGGGAGGCAGATTCTGGAAGCCTAGGAGTGCCAGGCAAAGGGAGAGTATGCAGGGTCCTCTGACATGCAGACTTACACTTGCTCTTGAGCCACCACTGCTACTTCCTGGTACAGAACTCTTGACACCACTCATGGGTATTCCTGCCAGCTTTCCCACCACACAGCAACAGGAAGTAGAAAGCACTCTGTGTGTGTACAAGCCTGCGTAGGCTGCCAGGTCCCCAGCATCTGGCAAACTCAGGCTCTGCCAGAGTAAGCTACTTAGAAGTAGGAAGCCCTCCTGGGGGAAACTCAGTGTTCAGGAGAGGCTCTTAGACTCCTCGCTGTGAGCATGGCTGAAGTGGGAAGAGAAAAATGAGGCTGTGGATGCCCTCAGCCAACAAGATGGGTCAGCAGGGACTAGGGGTGCAGCTTCCAACTTGGGAGTGGGGACAGATGGAAGTGGGGCTCAGCCCCCTTGGAGAAAAAGACCCCTGACCGGCCTGCACCCAGGGTGGGGACAAGTATGCTCACTTCTACTCAGATGGCCACTTGGGTGAGCGCAGGGCACCACCTGTGACAAAGAGCCACAGTCACTACTTCAGGCTTTAATCACAGAGGTGAACAGCTGCAGCTATTGCACCCCGTGCCCCAGGTCCACAGGCTGCTTAGGATTTTATGAAATGAAAATGCTTACGCTCCTCCTGTGGCCATGGGGAGGACAGGCATTTTAGGGGAGGCTATGAGGACAACCGTGTAGAAATTAAAGTCAGGTTAAGGGAGAGGAGCAGAAGGCTTATGCCCCTCCAGTCCGGGGCAGAAGCTTTGCTGAGCACTCCAGAACCTTCATTGCACCACCAAAGACCCCGGAGGGAGGGGCTGATAGTGGCACAGTACCTGGGGGGGAGAAGCTGCTTTCTTGCGTGGGGGCCTGGGACTGAGGAAGAAAGCAAGCTGGAGCCTCCTCTTTGTCCCTCCTTCCAGATTTCCCTAGAAAACACCGTAGTAACTGGGGAAGAAACTATATGACCTGCAACAGAGTTGTCAAGATCCCAAGGCCCTCCGCCTTCTGCTGGGGACTGAGCCAAGCTCATGTTGGGTTAGGCCCGGGGGAAGGACTAACCTCCCCACTTATTTACAGGACCAGGCAGAACAAGCCCCAAGCAGTACATCCGGGGGCCAGGAAGGGGGAGGCCAAGAACAAAGCCTGGGGACCACCCTAAACACTGCCTTTCATGTTCTCCTCACTCAGTAACTTTTCAGTGCCTAAAAACATTCCAGAAGAAATACAAAAGATAGAATATCCCTGTAATCTACCTCCACCAGTACACCGCCTGCCTCCTAAACGGCGTCCAGTTATTGAGGTGCAAGCATAGAGTAACCTGCCAGAAAAACAAAGAAGGGCCAGAAAGGCAGGGTTTCCTCATGAGAGGGAGAGAAAATGCCCTTGCTGGCTTCTTATTGGAAGGCACCTGGGACTACGAAGCTGTTTGCTGTGGGGTATGTACTGTTAAGCCCCTCTATCAAACCTTTGCTAAGGCTATATTGCTCACTGGAACACCTATGTGGGTGTCTTCACAGGGGAGGTGAAACAAACGTGGAAACAGCAGGCAGGAGCAGTGGAGTACAGGAGGGGGAAAGCTGACAGTTCAGTCACACTTAAAAGAGCTAGATACTAACTTCTGAGCTAAATCAAACATCATCTCATTTCAGGCGCATATGGACACGTTGCAGGCACTGATAGGTTGAAAACTGTTACTGGAACTGCATGCCATTGTTAGCAGGCCTGGGAGGACCACACTTTAGGCTTGAAAGTTCCAGCCAAAGAGTGGAAGCAATTTGAATTGGCAACAATACAGGTTCAAAAAGAAAATCCACGTCAACCCCAGCTGAGCCCAGAGTTCTACTCTGCACAGTCCTGTGGCCACTACACACAGGTTAGCAAGTACAGAAAGCTTGGCCCAGGGAGGAAGATTGCCTCTAAGGCCCAGACTCACACAGTGTTCACCAAGGGATGCACTGACCCAAGGACGATTCTTCCAGGAAGAACATGCAGATGACATGTGCCTCCAAAGTATAGCACAATCACACTGGACTCCATGCCTCCACATGGAAGGCCCTAGTGGGTTCCATTGGGTTCCAGGGCAGCATGCCCCCTCATGCCCTGTTCCATGAGCACCTGACAAGCCACAGGTGATAGGTTAGTGGCTGTGGCCTCAGGCCTGCCATTGTTTTGGATACTATACCTTGAACTTGAGACTCTATCCCTGCACAAACCCCTCCTCGTGCCCAGGGTTTGTCTTTCCTTGCTGGAGCCATTGTCCTCTGAGCAATTTATGGAACTAATACTGCAACATCTGGACCGGTGAGTCCAGGGGTTAGGCATCCATGCCCAGCAGAGCCCTCCTAGTGCCTGTTTCTCGGTGAGTACCTTCCAGATTCACAGGGTGGGCAGGCAAAGCAGCTGGCTCAGTGCCCTCACAGGGAGAGATGCCCTCATTCTCAACAGCCCAGCAAAGGCCAAAGCAGCCCTTTCCCCTGCCCACAGACAGAGCCAGGAGAGCCCAGAGTCCTCACTCCAGCAGCCTGCGCCCAGGGTTTAGAGACTCAGCTCTAGGCACCCACCTCACTGACCCACAACAAATGCTCCCCAAGCCAGCATCTGCTGGAGTTCCTTAGGGGCCAGGAGTTTCCAAATACATAAACTTGAGGGGTTCCTCCCATAAGTCATGTGACCTGGGGGCTGCTGGGGGAGTAGTGGGATTAGGAGAGACAAGGTCATAGAGCCTGAGTTCAGACACTTACCTTGACCTTCGCAAAGCTTCTTCATCAGGGTCTTGCACTGTGGATAGAAAGATGCTGGTCAGGAGGAGCCATAGGGAACATAAGGAGGAAAAGCTGCTAAAGCTCTGTGGGCACTGAGTCCCCACCAGTGACTGAACAGTTACCACTCCCTATCCTGTAAACTAGGCAGGAAAAGGCTGTGTGCTGGACAGAGGACAGGAGGAGAGAGGGAATATGAGAGGAAATGGTGCAGCTGGGTGGGAATGGTCAGAGGCGTAGCCTGTGAGGTCCTCCTATCCCAGCTCTGGGCAGTAGTTTCACTCAGAAGCACCATGACAAGCTTGCTGCCCAATATTTGGTCAGGAAGCTGAGCAGAACATTGATGTCATTTGCCTGCCTTAGGGCCCAGAAGGAGCTCAGCAGGCCACTATTTGTCTATTAAGGCTAGCTCATCTTCAAAAAGCGTGAGGGGGGGCTTGACTCCCTGGCCTATGTAGGACTTTGGAGTAGGGCCCAGGACCCTCATGGCCCCTCAGCATCTCTCCTTTTTGTCCCACCACCCTAAGCCCTCACTTACTGTATTCTGTCCCTGTCATCTGGGCCAGGATGCGGAAAGAGCGAGACTGAAGGTTGGAGGAGCGGCGGGCCCACTCATCAGCCTCATCTTCTGGCTTGTTCTGGTTCTTAATCACAGCCTGATACACAGGAGAGGCACTGTCCACAGCAAGGTCTTTAACAGGAAGGCTCCTGTAATGCAGAAAGATGCTGTGGGTGAGAGCTAGGCTAGAACCCTGCTCCCAACCCCTTACACTCCCCCAACGTTGCATCCCCTGGTATCCCTTGCACCCATGGTGACCCCTACTTGTCTGAACCCACCATACCCTTTACCCATGGCCATCTGAGAGCCTGGGACAAAGGGTTGGCTGAGTCCTCAGTGCTCAGGGTGGTCACAATTAGACAGTGATTCCTTCCACAAGGGGGCCAGGAGGCTCAGATCCCTCCACCCAACACCCCTCCCCAAGCTTGCTGCAGTCACTGACCTGAAGACATACCCCACCCCAGGTGCTGGATCTCCTTTAAGGAGAAAGGAGGCTGAAGGCTTCTTCTTGAAGTAATTTCTACCTCCCTGAGCAGGCCCTGAATTTGAGGCTATATGAGGACCGGCCAGTCAGGACCCAGAGGCTTCCTCAGGGTTGATCCTCCTCACACCTTTGGATACAAACAGGAAGCCACCAATGCCATGACGGTCATAGCAGAGGACTGAAGGCTCTCTCCCAGCCACAAACAGGCAAGTGGGGGTGAGGGGGTGAGAAACACAGTAGGAAGGCCATGTGTCCAGTGTATCACCTGTAGACAGGGGCCTTCTGGCCTGGGGGTGCTGGGAGTAGAGCTGCAACAGGGTCACTAGTCTTCTGCCCCGACCTATTGAGGGGGACCTGGTGACCCTCCTTTAGACTCTCAGTGTCTGGTATATAGTAGGTGCTCAAAACTTAGTTAAATAAAGAAATCCTATATCAGAGACAAGAGGGTCCCCAAAGCTACTTGGGTTCAGTGCCTCCCAGCCCAGACCAGACTGCAGGGCAGAGTATATCAAAAAGCTTTACTCACCCTGGCCAGTAAGGACTGGAGGATGCAGGCTGCCCAGCCCACCCTGTCATGGACACAGTAATAAGAGCCTGCCTCCCCATCCAGCAGCCCAGCCCTGACACTTGCAGATGCTGAAACTGAGATCCAGAGACGCTGGGAGACTAGTCCAGGCTACAGCACATAGGGCCCCCAATAGAGTTAGAATCCAGACTCCCCGTCTCCTAGCCCAGTGTCCTTTCCATCAGACCCTCTGCAGTGGCAAGGGCTCAGAAAGGCCATTTCTTCCCACTGGGCCTTGTACACACCAGACGCTCTATGCCTAGAAATAGCCCTGCTCAGACACTTGCCCTGTCCAGTGTCTCCTGTCTGCCTTTATGGTTGCCTCTGCCTGCACCCTTGAGGGCCAGCTCTGCAAGGAGCTATCTCGCATTGGTCTAGTCTCTCAGGATTGATTCCCTGTGTCTAGCTCAGGGTGGGCTATGACAGCAGAGGAAAAGACAGGTGACAAAAAGTGACTAAGACTGGGTGGAGCTGCCCCTACTTCCCTGATGCTGTGCCCTGGCCTGAGAGCTATAGATAGTTAGCAGCCAGTGGTTGGAATCCAACAGGGAAAGACTGGTGGATCCCTCTCGGGTCCAGGCAGGGAGGAGCCTGGCCCTGTCCAGGAGTAGAGGAATGGATGGGGGTCTTGTTAGTGAAGGCCATTTCCAGCACAGAGAGATGTACCAAGGGTTCTCAAAGCAGAGGCTGGTCCTATTGTCTTTGAGTCAGATGGGCAACAGGAAGGCATAATACAATCAGGACTCCCTGGTCTGCTTGGAGCAAGTGTGGACTGTGCCATGGGTAAGGGAAGGTGTAGACCCACGCCCAGACCCCATCTATAAGCCTGCCTACATTGAGCCTTGTGGTCCAGGAAGCAGACAGAAGGTATTTGCTGCCATTTCCCTGGTACATGCCCTCGAGGTGTTCCCCTGTCCTTCCAAAGCTCCAGGGCTCCAGAAAGCTGCCAGGAGTGAGACCCTTGGGTTTCACATTATTGGCTCATTTCCTACCGCACTGTACAAAGATCAGGGACTGGTGCTGCTGCAAGAGACTGGGAGTCCAGTGAAGGAACTGCTGTGCCTTTTTAAGACTCTGGGGCTCAGGGAAAGAGTGGAACAGACCTCAAGCTCCTGGGACCCTGAGTCTGAGGCTGTTCTGGGAAGCCCCTCCCAGCATAGTCTTCTGGCCACCAAAAGCACTCCATAGTCACTGAAAATCAAGGTCACCATGGTGCATTTACTCCACTTACAGTGCCCCCAAATCTGAGTCATCTCTTGTCTCCCTGGGGTGATCTTTAAGTGCTGGCTCCTCTAGATCCATGTTTCATGAGGATTCTGGGGAGTGACCCCTAAGAGGCCCCCTTATCACCCGTTCCCCTAAATAATGGCCCAGTGTGGATGCTGACATTCAGGCTTATGCTGTCTCAGTGCAGACAGAAAAGGCTGGGGTGAACACCCTCAAAGCATGGCAAGGAGAACACAGAGACACCCCCAGCTTTGGCAGCCAGCATGAGTGTTGTTACTCTCATCTCTGTCCATAGTGACATTATTTGGGGCAAACCCCAAAAGACAAGCCTATATAGGCTGCAGTGCATGGCACATGGCTATGAGGTGGGTATGAGGAAGAACACCAGACAGAGGCACTGTCCACAGACACATCCCACCAAACCTAAACACCATCCCGCAACCAGACAGACGATGATGGAACAGACTCAGACTTTGTGGGGTCTACTTATGCCAGTGGTGATGACCTGCCAAGCAGAGCACAGACAAGGAGGGAGTGCACATCCATCGAGGGATGACAGAGGGACAGCGTACACACAAGGGAGCAGGGTTAGGATCAGAAATGAGTTATGGGAGTGGGATGGATAAAGGATGAAAAGAGACAAAAAGAAAACTTTCAGTGAGGAAGAAACCATGGAAATTAACAGCAGAAATGGAGCGCCTTATGGCAGAGAGAGGCAGCTCTTGCCCACAGTCACCACGGCAGCACTAGTCCAGCAGGGCTGAGTTAGAAGGAACAGAAAAGCATGTTGCTTCCCAGACACGCAATGAAAGAGAAAGAGAGGGGAGGAGGGGATTGGAGGGAGACGGAAAAACTCCTTCCAGCAGATTAGATAAGATCAATGGTACATCATGTTTAAAAAAAAAAAAAAAAATTAATGTGTGCCCTAGTGGTAAAACCAAATAATAGCACCCTTTTCTCTAGGTGCAGAAAATAGAAAGTTCTTGTAAAGAGCAGTTCATCCATTATCTTCCCTTTGGTGACTGTTACCACTTTTAGGAGCACACCAAGGACATACTTGTACATTCTGTGGCAAACAAATGTTAGCAGGAAATCCCTGTTATCTCTTTGGCTTAGCTAGGCAGTTGTTTTCTGGGTACACATGAGATAATGGTTGTGTTTTTAAACTTGCATGGTCATATTTTCTGCTTTGAAGGATGGAATGAAATCAACACTGTCTATAGAGTTGGGCCTGGGCCTAGTGAGTTTGAGATTCACAGCTCAAGGGCAAGCAACCTCTGTCCCCTGGTGGCCCAAAGGAGGTACTGCGGGCTTAAGCAGCCAGTCTCCCCCTGGGAACTAGAGCTGGAAGTCTGCACAACCTTCCTTTGGCCTCTGGAGCCTCCCCCTTTTAACCTCACTCACATCATGGCCACAAGGGCTGGGTTCTGGAAAGGTCAAACACCATTTGAGTGTTCAGAGACTTTTTAACCCCTTTATTCCTCTTACAACATCTGTTTTTCTTAGCTTTAGAAAAAAAGTACAGCATCATTTAAAGATTTCTTGCCCTGAGTTGCTGGGGCTACTGACGTAGGGATAAGATATTGCCCAAAGACATAATCAGTCAGTTCTTAAAGTCAACACTGATGCTATTCTCAACAAGAAAACAGTAAGAGACCATATGTGTGTGTGCGTAACGAAGAGAAAGACAAGAGAAAGACACACAGAGACAAAGAATACGGAGTGAATGAAACAGAGGCGCACACACAGACACAGATACAGAGAGAAAGAGAAACTAAGAGAAACAGAAAGACAAAAAGAGGAAGAGGTCTCCATTAATATTTGTAGTATTAGCACTTTGATCCATAAATGATTTTCAGCCAACTCTTTCCCTATTTAGCCCTCATGTTCCTCAACCATTGATAACAGGAACATTTCAGGAAGCAAGGCTATCTGCGGTCACACTGCCCTTAGGTCCGTCTTCCCCAGGGCAAACAGGACGAGGCAGTGCCCAGGCTCCGCAGTGGGGAGACTGCCAACACCACCCCTCTCCTGGAATGGTTAGTCCAGAGTCCCCTTTCTCAACAAGAAACACCAACACAGATTTGACTTGCTCTCAACTTTGGTAGAATGCAGCAACTTTGAGAAGACTGGGATATCCAGAATACGACACTGGTTAACAAGAATCCAAAAGGCTTTTTCTAAACCAGCCCTCTCACAGAGCCCTAGGAAAATGCAGAGGCTGTAACAAGCACTTGGAGGCATTACCATAGTCTATATTTCTCCACCCTTCTCCTAAAGCCAACCATGAGGTTAATTCTGAAAAGAGAATGCCATGTTCTGGAAGGCCTGACCAGAGGCTGGCTCCCGTCCAAGGGCTGTGCCCAAGGCGAGGGAGGAGATCTGGTCCTGATGCCTCAAGTCTCTTATGTTGCCCAGCAGCCTGCTGCCCGCAGCCCTGCGAGGATGAGGCCCTGCCGTGGCCGAGCTGGTGAGTGGCGAGCCATCGTGGAGGAGGGGCGGCGCTTACCCACTGAAGTCACTGCCCTGGGCCTGGGCCTGCCCTGCGATGGCATCCATGATGGCGTCCTGGGAGTACATGCTGATGGGGGTGTTGTATTGCGCGTGGATGATGGTGGCCTTGCCGCCCAGCCCCTTCACCTCGATGGGTTTGTGGGTGGACAGGGCCGAGTCCTTCAGGGCGTTTGGGTTGAAGCGTTCCTGGTAGTCAGCACTGGGGGAAGGGAGCAGGGGGAGTGGGAGGGAGGTGGAAGGAGAAAAGGGCAACAGGTGGCATTACATGGGAGGTCACTGCGAGAGCTGGTGGTGGAGGGTGTCAAGAGAGATCTCCCAAAGTCTGATTCCAGGAAATCTACCCAAGTCCCCCAACTGTAGGTGGGCTGGGTCTGGTCGGGAAAATCCTCGGCACCCTCCCCAAAGCCCTCGACAGGAGCTGTTTCTTGCTCATCTGGGCTTTCCCAGATCCCTGGAGGCCTCCTGGCTCAGCCTGAGCTGTGGCCCAGGGTCAGGAGGGGGCTCCAGGCATTGGACACTTTCTCACCACACCAGCAGAGAAGCAGAGACCAAAGGGGTTGGGGGTGAGGGTTGGGAGTAGGGGACAGGAGTTGGGCCAGCGTATCAGGAAGCAGCAGCCCAAGCGGCGTTCAGGACGGCCAAAAGGTGAAAAACAGCCCCACTGGGCAACCATGGAGATTCTGAGTTTAGCTCCTCTATGGAGGGCCGTATCCTCCTGGCCACTCCCTTGGTTCCTGGGGGTTCTGCTCCTCCAGATGCTTCAGTGCACATGCTTCTTCCAACTTGCTGTGTGGCCGCCAGTCTCTACCCATCAGGGCTTCCCCTCCAACAGGGAAGTGTGCTTTCCAGGCAAAGACATGGTCAGGGGCAACCCTTCGGAGGGGTCCCACCAGGACAGAGGTATCTTCAGGCTCACAAAGAACCTAGTGTCAGTGAGGCGCTCCACTCACCACCCCCCAGAGCCAGCTGCAGCAGGAAATTGAGAACGGAATTTCTCAATTCTCAGTGGGTATCAGACTGAGCCCTAGCACCCTTCCCTTCCCCGCCTCCACTCCATACTCACAGCTTCACACCCATGCAGGCTCACTCAGGGACAAATGCATCCCCTCTCACTCATGCACACACGAACGCATGCTGACACAGGCACACGCTGCCCAGGCCGACAGATGGATGCATGCTGGGATATGCACGCAAGGGCACACACATGCTTTCCTTTGATACTAACTTGGCTGGAGAGTTGGCTACCACCTGGGGAGGAGAGAAAGAGCAAAGAAGACAGGGCTATCAGAGTGAGGCTCCTACCAGGGTGTTTGAGCTCTGGGACCATACTCAGAATGGCCATTGTGGAGGCAGAGCCAGCCCAGACTGGCTCTGGGTGAGGAGAGTGCAAAGTATGGAGGGGAAGAGCTCAGAGTTGGGTTATGGCCTCTTGGTTTGGGTAAGAGATGCCTGCCGCAGTGTTTTCCCCTTAGTAGGTCCCTAGTACCTAAAGCTTTGCCAGGTTTTCTTGTCCACTTTTAAGGGTACTCACATACAGGAGTTCCCCACATGCAACTTGGCTGCAGACCCTGGGAGAGAAGCAGGCTAGCCATGGCTGCCAAGGGCCTAGGTACCTCCTGTCCAGGCAGCAGCTCTGAACTTCCCCTTGTGAAATGGGGGCAGCTCTGGGAGTTCTGCTCCTTGAGTAGGAGTTGCAGGGGTGCTGGGGGGTGTGTGTGTGGTGGGGTTACCCACAGCCTCAAGGACCTGCTCTCTCTCTCTCTCAGAGTAGGCGCAGGCCCTGTGGACAGGCAACAAGACAGGATGGAGGAGCATAAAGGCTCAGAAGTGTGGGTCCATAGCTTATTGCAGGAAAGCCCCCAGGCAGAGCAGCCCATTAGCGACTCTACAAGAAGGACCCCACCATCACTGTTTTCTGAGTGAGCCTTCTGGGGAACATCTCTTTGGGGGAGGCACTGCATGTTTCCACCTCTTTAAATGCAAATTCCTAGCCTCAGCAGATCCTGGCAGTATCATGACCCTGTCAGAAACCCTGGTGGGACAGGGGAGAAGTGGGGGCATTACAGAGGAGTGCGGGTGGCATCCTTGCCTCAAGCTCTACTACCTTTTCACTTCTGGCCACTGTGGACTCTGATGGGGAAGCCTGGGCCCCAGCAGGTCAGGCCCTGGTCATCCTTTGGCCAAGACCCTGAGAAGTCAGGCCAAAGTCAGGGACCTCTGAACCCCAGGCATCCTCAAGGTGGCCCTGCTCGCCCCAGGCCCCTGTCCTAGAGCTGATGAATTTTCCTCTGTCCTCCCAGTCTCAAAATAGCTGCAAGTGGAGCTATATTAGGAAAGGGCCAGCACAGATCTTCCATTCCTTCTCCATTTTTGGCCAGTGCTGACAGCTGCAGGGTCAGCTCTTGCCCTGACCAGCCATGCCCCCTGCAAAGAGCAGTGTTGTCCTCTGGGGCTGCCTCGGGCCTGCCCTGCCTGGGCAGCTAGCTCCTTCTTTGGCATTGGTTCCTGACCCCTGCCCCCAACCCCTGCTTAGCTTTCACCTGCAGACCTCTAGGCTGCAATGCCTGTCAGACACAGTTCAACGAGGAGGTAACACCCAGGTCTTGGGGAGGATGACCCAAAGCTATAAGATCTGCCCAGGGGCTCTTGCACCTAGTGGCCTTTGGATGCTGCTCTTCAGTCCTAGCCCCAGAGAGGATAAGGAGAAGGGGGCTACAGTGATGCTCAGGCCCATTGTCCCTATACCCCATTTATTCTTCTCCGTGCTTCCCAGGGTAGAAGCTGCCAAAGAAACACTGCAAACTGCTGAGAGAGAGAGAGAGAGAGAGAGAGAGAGAGAGAGAGAGAGAGAGAGCGCGCGCGCGCGAAGGGGAAGAAACTCCCTTTCAAAGCTGGACAGGATGGAGTTAAAATCCTGACCCTGCCTCTTCCTAGCTCTGTGACTCTGGGCAAGTTACCCACCTGTCTCAGCCTCCATCTCATTCATAAAATTGTGATGGCAGTGCCTACAGCACAGACGGGCTGTGCAGACTAAACAGAATACTGAGAGTAAAGCCCTTGGAGTAGGTTAAGTGTCCAGTGGATGGACTTCAAGCAGTTAGGCACTTAGTGAAGGCAATGCCTCAGCCCAGCTGAGGCCCCGCAGGCTGGCCCACACCAGAGGCTCCACCCTTCCTGTGGCTTTGCCTGGGGAGAGCAGCGCCAGACTTCATGTGGATGAAGCACTCCCTCTCCTAGCCCATCTTTCCTTGGAGGAACCTATTAGACTCTGACGCTCTGAGTGTCAAGTAATACTGTAACGCTTGTCAGGTTTCAGAGAAGTCCCCATGCCAAGGGGAGGGCACCTTGGGAGCCATGGGAAACAGGGGTGTGGTGAGCCCTTGGCTTCCCGGGGCAGATAGGTGGGTCCCTGACTCCATACAGGGAAGAGTCAGGTCAGCCTGGAGGTCAGTTCTGTCTGCTACTCATTAGCTGTGTGACCTTGGTCAAATCACTCCTTCTCTCTGGGCCTCTATTTCCCAGGTTTAAAATGAGGGGAAATGATGCCAACCTCTGAAGTTGCTGAGAGAGATTTGTTAGTTAAAGCACATGGACTATTAGAAGGTGCCTGGACCAGATTGAGGACTCAGTAAGGAGAGACAATATCCTCACCCCAAGTGAGCCTCACTGGGGGCTTCAGGGGATAGTCCCAGGGTGGCCAGGAAGAGCTACCTGCCCATCCAAGGCAGAGAAGGGGGCCATTTCTACTCTGCTGTTCCCTGAGTTTTCTGGCAGAAGCTCCTTGCTGAAAAAAAGCCAGTGGTATATAGCTCTGCCACCTTGGTTCAGGGAAGCCAGGGTGCTCACACCATAGAGTGCCTGAGGCCAGTTTCACTCAGGATCTGAGAAAGAGCTGGGGATCTAGAGGAGGTGGGGGTCACCCCAGGGGTGCAGTGAAATGACGGGGCACAGGTACTTTCTGTGGCATAAGCAAAAGAAGGTCTTGGGTTTGGGAGCACGCACTGAGTGTGCCAGAATAGAGCTCCGTGCCGTGCATGTGCTGTCTCCTTCAGTTTGCCCTGTAATGAACAGTTTCATTCCTGTGTACCTCTAACCACCAGACCATATTGCCTTGACTCTGCCTGCTCTGCTTCTAACACACAATTATTAGAGATAATTATACCAGTTGCAGGGGCCCATGGGAGACATTAAAATGAGATAACAAGTTTAAAGGACTTAGAAACTAATACACACTCTGCTTGGGGTCTCTTTCCCCTCAGCCCTTCCTTGATGCCTACTAGCTCTAGGGGTGTTTGTTTGTTTGTTTGTTTGTTTAACTCCTGTGCTCACAGAGTCCTACCAGCTAGACCTCAGGGGAGCAGGGGCTGGGCCGCTGTTCTGCACAGCCCCTTTCTCCTTGGGGTCCTGCTTCCTTGCTGCTCCACCTCAGCCAGGTCAGTCCTGCAAGCCCACTCCCTTCACGCAGTTGTCCAGTTTCTCTGAACCCAGCTTGAATGCTTCCTCCTCCAGATAGCCTTAGAGAATGTGCCTTCCCACCTTTCTAATTCTTCCTTGCTCCTGTTTCAAGTCCCCCAGAGGGGTGGGGACTAGGTTGTCTTCTTGCCCCAGAGCTCCTGAAGGCAGCAGGCTTTGTCCTGTCCTTGGGGGTGGCCTGGTGTAACAGTTTCAGGCATCAGAGTCTCCTGCATTCAGGTCCATTTCAGCCACTTAGCAGCTTGACAGCTGGACCTTGGCTTAACATTCTCTAAGCCTCAGTTTCCCCCTGTGCAAAATCTGACACATCATCTCAACATAGTTGTATAAAACAATGATGCGCCAGCTCATGGCAAATGTCAGGGACCATTGCTTTCACGGCTTCCAGCCTGCGCTATACCACGGGCCTGGGGCTGGCAGATTGAGGACAGCCCCTCACTCTGACCACCTGAGCAGGCCTCCACTGAGCACCGAGGACCCAGGTGGCCCCAGACCACCAGTGGAGAGCTGTGCGCCCATTACCTACCCTCCTGGGAGTCCAGCACCTGAGGCCTTCCCTCGGAGGCTCATCTGATACATCTGAGCCATCTCTCTCAGGGTCTCTGCTGAGTACAGGCCAATGGGGTTGTTATACTGCCTTGGCTGGCTCGAGCCCAGTGGCACTTTTGGGCTGAGTGATTCCGGGGCCCGCTCCGGGCTGGTCTTGGCCCCTGGGCTGCCCCATGGAGGGCCAGGGTCAGAAGCCTCCATGTGTGAGGAGAAGACGGAGGTCTGGGAGAAGGAGGAGCTAAAGGTCTGCCTGACCTCCGGGGTGCCCGGGCTGGCCCTCGCCTCGGGGTTGGGGCTGGGTGCCACCAGGCTGCTGTTCGTGTCCAGAGCAGGGTCCTGGCCCAGGGTAGCCGCCATGCAGGGGAGAGAGAAGAGAGCAGTTAGAGTCCACACGCATCCCAGTGCTTCTGTGTGGACCTGAAACAGAGGTGTTAGTATGAGGGACCCGCAGCCTGCAGCCTACTGCTCTGAGCTCAAGAGGGGCCAGACAGGCACCTGAAAGAGAAGGGTTTTGTCAGGAAGAGCAGGGGAGGCACACAGCTCCTGGTCCCAATGTTGGCATCCACCTGGACAAAATGCAAAGCCCCACTCAGAAAGCCAAGCCAAGCCAGCCTGCCTACAGGGCTAGAGAAAAGGATTGGGACAGGGGGTCTGCGGGTGTCAGGGAGTGGGGAGACCTAACTCCCCTCCATGTCCATTTCCCCTTCCCCTGAGTGGGGGTCCCTGGCGGCGCAGCCAGCCTCCTGTGACCCCACACTGGTAGAGTAGAGGGGAAACTGAGGAACTAGGGGGCTGACATTTGGTTCCTTTGGTTCAGCATTGCAACTTCTCCCAAGCTGCCTTCTGCCTAGTTCCCCAATTTGTCAACCACTCCAACCCTGTGTCAGCCTCTTTCTCTCCCCTCTCCCTGTCCCTTGCTCACTCTGCCTCACTGAAGAGACAGGAGTCAGTATAAGATCATGCAGGGAGGGGTGGGGAGCGGGCCCTTGTTGGAATGGTAGGGTGGGCCTCCCATGCCTTGGGACCACAGGGTTGAGCTGCTCAGAGGAAGCTGGAAAGGGGCCTGGGGCACAGGGGTGAGGTCTGTGGCCAGAGCTCCTCCTTCTTTCCTGTGCCTGCCTCTGGGCCGCCACCAGCATTTCTGATTGGGCTATATGGGTGTGCAATTGGGAGAGGGAATGGAAATCAGAGGAAGAAAGCCTAGGTCAGAGGAGAAACCCCAGGGTTCAGCAGGCCCCTCCACTCCTGGGGCCTCCTCCTGGGGTGACCAGCTCAAGCTAGGGCTTCTGTTTTTCATGCCACAGTTCCCCCTCCCTGGTCCCTAAGGAAGATGAAGGTCAGAGCCTTCTGGACCCTTGTCTCACCTGGCTGAGAGGATGCTCCCTCTTTTGAGAACACTGCTGCCTAAGCTGGTATTGTGTGAGCCCAGCCGTGAGGCCCTGGCAGGTGACACCCAGCCAGACACTTCACACTCAGTATTCCATGGGGGCTTGAACACCTCTCCCCGAGACCTTCCCCACTCTCCAGGGTCAGCTACAGCAGGGCAGTGCTAGGACAGGGCTGATACCTTGCCCTGCCGCAAATGAGCCAGCCAAGGGTCAGGCAGGCAGACCAAGGGCTGCACCCCAGGAACCTTGCCTGAGAGTGGAGTCCGCCATCTACAGTTAGTACCTACCTTCTGGTGGGGGATCACCGGCAGAGGGGACTGGATTGGAGGTGTTGCCATGGAGATGGGAGCTGGTCGCTTTGACCTAGAAAAACCGGAAATGAGACCAAATGAAGACAGCCATGTCTGGGGCCATGAGTTGGCCATGAGAGAACGATGGAGTGCTAGGGGGCCAGGTAAGAAAGCCTGGGCCCACTGTCCACTCCTTAGGCTGGGAGTCTCCAGGAAACCACGGGGTCTAACCAGGATGAAGAAGTCATGGCCCTAGGGCGTTTTGCAGCCATAGGCCTCTGTTAGGTCCTTGGGGGTCTGCCAGGGCAAAGAGAAAGCAGGGAGGACCCTGGCTTCTGGGCCTGACAGCCACACTCTGGCAGCACCAGACCCATCCTCTCAGCTTCATCTGTAAAGTGAAGCACAGACATGGCAGGTGCTTAACAATAACTTGGGCCCGGTCCTTCCTCTGGTCCAGGGGTTGTCCCTACTGCCCGGCAAGGCCTTGTAGCACAGGGCTGGACCCACACAACTGCTGCTGGACAGGCCATCTCTCAGGTGCCTGATGCCCATACCCCAGCCTCCCCCCTGCTCTGGAGAGCTCCCACCTACTTCTGCAGTGTGAGACTCAGGTTGTAGCTGGCAGACTTGATCTTGTTCTGGGCCTCCAGATGAGTCATGGTATCTGTGTTGACGCCGTCGATGGCTACCACGAGGTCACCCTGGCTGAGCTGGGACTGGGCCGCCTTGCTGCCGGGTGTGATCTGAGAGGATGACAGATGGGGAGATGAGCATAAGGAGGATGGGCCTGAGGATGGGCTAGTCCTCAGAGAAGGGTCACCAGGGATCATCCAGTAGAGGCCTGCCATTTTGTCTTCTTCACTGTGGCTAGCACCCACTGCTCACCAACCCTGATTCCTCTTGCTCGCACACAGCCACCACATTTCCTAATGCTTTGTATCCAAGTGTTGCTGTAAGACTAGCGCTGGCTGGTGAGATGTGGATGGAGGCAGTGCATACCCCTTCCAGGCTTGTCCCCAGCAGCCACCCTTGCCATCCTGCACTCTCTCTTCTTGTCAGATGACTGGAGGCAGAGGACCCAGAGGAGGAGAGTCAAGCCACTAACAGAAGGGACCTGGATCTTGGAGTTGCTACTTGGTGGAGAATGACTAAAGAGCACAGCATCGAATGTTGCATGAGTGAGAAATGAAATTTTGTTTTGCTAAGCCATTGAGATTTGGGTGCTGTTTGTTATACCAGTTTGCTCACTCTAACACCTGTACCCTGCACATCCACGTAGCATTCTCCAGGCTCCAGGAGGAAGGGGATATGCAGGAGCTAAGATTCAGCACTACCACAGAGATGCTGCCAGATCTGCAGGTAGGACAAATGCCCCCTCACAAAGCATCCTAGTGTTAGTGCCTAGTGCCAGCACGGCAGGGTGCAGCAGCAGGCGGAGGTGTATGCTCGGACTGCACGCTTCCCTGCCCTGGGATGAGCAAGGCTGGGAATGGGGAGGTGTAGGAGTAGGGGCCAGTTCCCAAATCCTGTACCCTAATACCATCACAGATTGTTAGAGTCTGGGGGCCCCACCTCCAGTGCGATCACACAGAACGCCAGGCCTGCTCCACCCTGGGACACCTCGTGCAATGTCAAGAAGGCCACACCCCCAGGAACATTATTTGGGAGGCCACGATGGTTCATATTCCACTTTCAGTGACATCATGTACAATGACAGATTCTGCACGCCTGGTTCCCAGTAATAGCACCCTGAATACTGTGGAGACCCCTCCTGCAGTCAAATCACATGAAATGCAAAATTCTGGAAGGCCTCATGACATCACCTAAAATAGCTTGATCCCCTGCTCCTAGTGACATTCCATGGAATGTGATGAAGCCCCACCTCTGAAGGTATCTCATGAAATGTCTCAGAGACTCCGCTTCACCACCATGACATCATGTGGAATACCACATGATGGTATTCCTGACCCACATGACATCATGTGGAAGGCGCCCTGTGACACCATGCAGAATGCCATGCAGGCCTTGCCCCTGATGTTACCCCAGGAAAGAAGAGCCTCTGGAAGGAGCCCCTTGGCTTTTCCTCCCCAGCTGCCCACCAGCCAGTCCTCCTGGCTTCTCTGGGCACATCCCAGTCACCTTCCTGGCTATACCCCAGGGACAATGCTGGCAGAGTTATTTTCTGGCCAAGGCCTGGGGACCATCCTAGAAGGAGCCCAGAGAGGACCTGGGGATAGTCCCATGCCTTGGGTGTCAAGCCTGAGAGGGCCTCTGGCCAGACCCTGGGCTCCCATACCTGATGGAAGCCTCCTGCCAGGCCCCTCACAGGGAACTCTCAGACAAACTAGAGCCCTTGCTGTCACCAACCTCCAGCCTGTTTTCAGATGTGCTCTGCAGGGTGATGACCTATTGATAACAGCAAGACAGGAGAGCCCTCTCTGATTGCCTTCCACCTGCCTCAGCCCCAGTGGCTGTGTTACATGCTTGAACTCTGGCCACCTTTGCCAGGGCAGCCTTCCCACCCCTGAATCTGCTGAGGCAGGCAAGGATAGGAGAGAAACCAACCAGCCCCTCGGTTGCCAGGTAGCCACGGTTTGTAGAGTCCAGCATGCTGCCCCGACTCCCACAGGGGCCTCTGAGAACTAACTTTTCAGGCTTCCTCAAAATGCACACCATTCTTCACCCCAAATCCAAGGCCACACGGAGCTTTTACTGATGACAGGAATGTATTGTTTTCTTTGATTTAAGGCATTAAACCATGGGTGAAAAGCAACAAAGAGAAATAAAACATTTTGTAGGCTAAGAGGGGACTCCTGAGGGCAAGTGTACTGCTCTGCCAGGCCTGTCCTTTCCCTACCTGGCTTCACATTCTGGCCTGTACTCTCCCTAGCATTTTATTATAGACATCATCAAATGTACAAAAAGTGGAAAGAGTTTTACGGCAAGCATCCAAATACCCACAACCAAGGTTCCACTATAATATTTCACTCAACTTGCTATATCACATGTCTGTCCCTCCCTCCATCCACCAATCCATCTCAGTTTGGAAGCACTTCAGAGAAGGTAGAGGACACCGGTATGCTTCCATATAAGATGAAGCAAGCAATGCCTCTGCCCTCCTAGTAGACTGCCCACAGGGCCCCCACAGCCAACTCCCCCCCACAAGGGCTTCCCAGCGGCTTCTAATCAACCCCGGAGAAGGGGTTATCACCCTGCAGCAGAGAGACCCCAGGTAGGGAGGTGGCGTCTGGCGGCACAGACCCCAGAGAGAGGGGCAGGCTGGCTGCCTGCAGAAGTGATAGCTGCCAGACAGGACCAGAGTCATGTCCAGAAGATCATGGGTGGCGGTGTAAGCAAGGACGCCAGAATGACATCCAGAGAGGCTGGGGCCAAATCAGCTCAGGCAAAGGTGGGGGGTCAGGAGGTCTCAAAACTGGCATGTCCTCCTTTTGGAGCTGCCGCACATCAACTCTTGCTCTGTCTCCCGCCTTCCTCTGGCCTGGCCCTGCCTTGTTTCCCCTCATCCTCAGGTACGGGCTGGAGTGATCCTTGTTCCTAGGGTAGAGCTCATCCTCCCTAGGGCCTGGCCAGTAGCCAGACTCTTCTGAGGGAAGCCACTGAGCTGGCTTCCGCTTGCCCCTGGCGCCTCTCTCCTTGCACCTGTCTCTGCCCATCAGGGTTCAGCTGGCCTGGCCTTTGGCTGCCCTGAGCAGGATCCAAGATACCTTGGGTTGTCACCACCTCTTGTACGGCAGTGCTCTTCTAGTTCTGTCCAGCTTTTCTTGGAGAAGAAGGCAGGATGGAGACAAGGACTTCAAGCACAGCCCAAGGGTCATCAGATCCCCTCCCCCCACTGCAGGAGAGGTCTGCCCACAGATGGGTGGGGCCACGCTTGGCCTCTTACCCAGAGCCCAGGGCAGGGAAGCACGCAGTCCAAGCATAATGTACCTATGGATCTGTCAGACTCTATCCCTCTCTGCTTTCCTCATCCCAGCAAGGACCCAAAGCAGCTAAACCCTTGGAGGTTCTCTTTTTCTTTAGTCTTCCCCCTTTTAAGCATTTGAAGGCTCTTTGTAATAATGGTTTCCTTCCCACTTCACTTTCCAGTCTCCTAGAGTCACCAGCCACCTCTCAGCTGGGAAACCAGCCGTGAGCAGAGCTCCAGGCATGAGTCTTGTCTCCAGGGCTGCCCAGGATGGCTCAAAATGTTTGGGGGCCAAAATTGCCACTTGGCCCACAGCAGTCCTTTCACCTTGCTGAGTCATGGTCTTAAGGCACTCCAAAGAAGGCACAGGGATAACAGGTGCTAGGGAGCAGCTGTGGCCCCAGTCACCTGCAGGTGCCTGTAGAAAAGGCAGCAAAGGAAAGAGTGTGGACTGTGGTCTGGGCCAGACCTAAGGTTGCAGTGCCAGCCTCCATGCCCTCTCCTGTTTGTCTCCTGTATGGAGACAAACACCATCTTTCTCCCAGGATTGCTGCAAGCATTACATTATTAAATAGGATATTAGGTGAGGAGGGTACAGAGCTGAGAGAGTTTCAAGAAAGCTCCCAAATGAGGAAGTATAGGTAATGCCCCCGGCTCCTTCCCTCTGGAGGTACCAGAGGGGCAGAGGCTGGGAGCTGCATCCCTGGCTCCAAGAGAAACAACACCCAGAGCTGGCAGAGTGGGGAGCAAGAGACTGCCCCAACTGACTAGTCCTGAGCCAGCAGGCTGTCCCTAGAGGGGCCTGAGCATTAGCTGGAGGGGAGGGAAGTTCTGTTCAGGTTCCTAGGGAAGCAAGATGTTGGGTGGGACTCAGGTGCATCCATGCCATTGGTTCCTATTTCCCCAGTTCCCAGGAAGCTGGCTGCCAGGAGGGCAGTTGGGCTCCCTGCAGAAGTTCCCATCCTCCCAGTGCTCAAAACCAGACAGGCTCCATCTTCCTTCCCCTCTAGATTTGCTGATGTAGATGTGATGGGGGATGGGGAGAAGGGCCGCTAGGGGATGCTATGGATGATGTAGTTTCCAGCATCTCCTCCCGTCCTTCCAGGCTGACTGACCCAGGAGCTTTCCTGTGGAGTCCTAAGTGCAATTAACATTGTGTGATTAAATTACTGTTAGGCCATGCTCTGCTGCAGCCCCATCTGGACTCCCCTGGGGCCTTGCTCCGTCCCTTACCCTCTCACTGGAAACTACTGTCTCCCCATGGTCCCACTTCCAGCCCCACCCTGGCCAATAAACAAGCCAGCGTCTTTTCTATGCTCAAAAAACCTCTCCTTGCACAGAGGATCTTCAGGGCAATGAAAATATTCTGGATATACTATAATGGTAAATATATGTCATTATACATTTGTCCAAACCCATAGAATGTATAATAACAAGAGTGAACCCTAATGTCAACTATGAGCTCTGGATGGTAATAATGTGTCAATGTAGGTTCATCAATTATAAGAAATGTACCACTCTGGATGGGGGGTGTTGACAATGGGGGAGGCTGTGCATATGGGGGCAGGGTGTACATGGAAAATTTCTGTACCCTCTTCTCAATTTTGCTGTGAACTTAAATCTGCTCTAAGAAAATAGTCTTTTAAAATAATAATAATAATAATAATAATAATAATAGCCTCTCCCTCCCTTGCCTTACCTGCTCCAGTGGCTCCTGTCATGTTTTGCTCCCTTTCTTCACCTCCAGACTTCTTCAAGAAGTGACCATCAGGTCTTGCCTCAACTACCACCCATCCCCCTCACACCCAGCCATCCGGCTCTGGCCCCCACCACTCCACACACCCCAATGACCTCCCTGTGTCCAAAGCCAGGGCTCACTTCCTCTCTAGCTGACCATACCCATACCTTTCCCTGGCCTTCTGAGTCTCTCTCTTCTTTTCTTGTCCAGGCCCACAGTTCTGTCTGTGTCCTGGATGTCACCTGTAGAATGCTCCCGTGGGTACATCATTCACCGTGGGCCCCAGAGAGGACTGGGACACAGCAAATTCCCTTTGTGCCTCTTAGGATGGTTCCTGGGTAGAGGTGGAGTGTGATTCCAAAAAAGCCTTTGCAATGAACATCCCTAGATGAGTGGGGACTGCGTAGAGAGGGATAGAGACTCAGGGAACTGGGGAAACATCTCCCAGGATGGAGGTCATCCTCAATAAGGCCCAGCAGACCTTCCTCAGGAAGCCTCCTCACGATTGCCACTGTCCCACACTTTTAGTCTGAGGAACCTGGGGGCAGCCCATGAAGTTGCCTGTATCCTGTGTCCTGGCCCAAGGCCTTGGAAGTTCTGTTCCCTAGGACCTAATCAGCCTCATGCCCACTTCCTCCAGGGCCCTCACAGGGTCAGAGACAGCTCTGAACAGCAGGGAAGAGGAGTATGCCAGGAGACAGCCTGGCTGGGAGACCTCTAAGAATGCATTCCCCAGCTGTAGGTCTCTGTCAGTTATCTTTCCCATTTGTTCACGTGTTGGTTGGGGGTGGAGGGGGGGAGTGGTGTGGGGCCCGGCAGCCCCACAGGAGCCCTGCATCCAGAGGCTTGCCTGACCTTAGTGGCTATAAATAGCAGGAGCTGTCAGCACTTTGAGGCGCTGCCCGAGAAACAGCTCCAGCAGCCTCAGAATTCCAGGAATCGTGGGCACAGTTGCCCCAGAATAGTCTTGGCCTTCTCCCTCCCTGGGGACCCTCTGTCTATAGCTTCCCCACTGTCAGCTGGAATAGTCTGACAAACACTGGAACTGAAAACTGCAAAGGAACTTGTGGTCCTCAAGGCTGGTCCCCAGGCAAGCCTTCTAGGCTGGTGGGTGGGACAGAGAGAGACAGACCCCACCCCGAGCTGAACCCATCCGTCTCCCATTCTCACAACCAGTCCCTGAGGAATGGCAGGTATAATGTATTTTCATAAGTGCATGTTAGAAAGCACTCTCACAAAGCCACTATCCTCATTTCACAGTTGAGAAAACTGAGGCCGAGCAGGTGAACTGACTTTTCTAAGGTGACACAGCTGTAAGTAGCACAGCAGAATAAAAGCATACACCTCTTCCGTAAAGTTGAGGATCACAGCATGCACCAAGGGGCAAGACCCCAGACCATGGCCCCAGACTCTGGCCTAGCAGTTGGGGCTGGGGTGGAGGATGGGCCTTTGCAGCTTCTCCCACCCCTCCCCCACTTCCTGGAGAACTGGCTGCGGTTGGTAGAGGGTGGGGTGAGAGGTCAGCTCATGTTGCAAGCACAGCTGCACCTGTCCAGGATAAATAAAGGCATTTCCCCTCCACCCTGAGACTCCCTCCTGAATCTCCTTTTCTGTGGGTCCTCAGGCTGAGACCCACTGAAAGGGGGGCTTGAGAAGATGCTGCTGCCCCAAGGTTTCTACTTTGGGGCCCATGGCAGAATGAGTGGGGACAGAGCTACCACCCAGACTGCAGGTGGCTGTGAGCCACCTTCTTACAGGAGGAGCTGCAACCTGCACCTGCAGCTGACAGGTGACAGGCCCTGCTCAGTGTTTTTCTACTAGCCCCAAGCCAGAGGGGTGAAGCAGCAGGCTTGGGAGCTAGGGATTACCACAGGAGCTCCTGCACGAGTTTGAGACTCAGTTTGCCTGGCTCTGAAGCCCTGCCTGGTTGACCACCCCCTCAGGACTGCAGTGCCAGCGGGGGTTGGGGTGGCCACTGCTGAGAATTAACAGGCCCCTGCCTCTGTGAATCCCCCCTCTGCAATATGCCACTAGTCACCTGAGCACCTACCAGCCCCTGTAGGAAGTGAATCACAGATGGAGTAGGAGTACGGTCTCTCCAGAAAGCTCTGGCCCTGTTCCTCTTTGGGAGAGAAATTCCTGGTGCAAAAGGGCCTGCAGAGCCACAGCAGGAGAAACCACACCCTGGTGAGATGGCAGGGCTCAGGGTCTCAGGTCCTGGCCTGTACCACTGAGCCTGGGATGCTCAGCCCAGATATCAGCAGCCCAGCAGAGCAGTTTATCAAGATACTCTAAACCCTGGGGTGGTCCAGTGCCCAATTCAGCTTGCTCCATGGCCTTGGTAATTTGGGGCGTGTCCCTGTAGGAAGGAGAGGTCATTCTGTCCATCCCCTGGTGCCTTGCCAGAGCTGCAGTTTCTATTTTTTAAAGTTCCTCATAGCCATCGGCTCCAGTGCATCCCGATACACCCCTTCCCTGCAGCAAAGACATTCTTCCTGCTGTCTAGATTGAGGTCTCTGTGCTGCAATTAAGCCCCGGACTGGCCAGCCCAAGTGACGCATAGAGTGAGGTAACTGACTATCCTGGGTGCCACCACAGGGATGGTGCAGGGAGCATCAGGAGGAGGCCTTGAGGATGATGGAGCTAGAGCAGAGTTGGGCTGGGTGAGTGTGGGTGGCCAGTGGACTTATGAGTGTGAGAATGGGCAGCCCCATCTCATATAGGGAGGAGAACAGCAACCATGGGAGTGGGGTTGTTCAGGGTCCTGGGGGGTGGGTTTCCACCTGGGAGGTGCATCACCACATGATCAACCAGAATGTGCAATTCCCTTGTCCTTTTAGTGTGGGACCCTGTGGACTCCAGGGCAGTGAGTCTAGAGGGGTATGAACTCAGGTTAGAATGAGCCAGCTTGTTAGGAGAAGGATGGAAGGCTAAGGACTTTTCCATGGGCTAGAGCCAGGCCAGTGCCCGGCACCAGAGGAAGGTGGCCTCTATGGCTGTTACAAGCTTCCCATAGCAGCCCTGACTGGGACTTCTCCTTGAGGTACCTCCAGGTGCCCACATCAGGTTCTACAACCAGTAGGGGTATTAGCTTCCTGCCCCTTCTGCCAAGCAATTTTCAGGTCTTCCCTGGCTACCCACTCAGTGCTTCCCTGCCCCACTTTACACCCCAGACCCAAGGCAAGTCTCTGCTGCCCTGGAGAAAAACTATCTTCCTGTCCCTAGGTGGGCAGCAACCCAGACACTCCTGTCCATTTATCACCTTCCAGTGACAGCTGGGGGCCTCAGCCTGCCCCCTGGTGCCCACATCCAGCACTGCCAGGGACTGCCCCAGCCTGAGCCCAGCAGGCATGTCTTGTTTATGCCCTCACACGCCTCATAGTCCACCCTGGGCCTCAGGACCTTCAGACCCAGCTCTCCCAAGCTTGTTGGAGAGTCCCTTTACTTGACAAAAAAAAAAAAAAAAAAAAAGTCCCTTGCTTGAGCATCTACTATGTTCTAGGCCCTGGTGTACATTTCAGGGGCATGGCAGTGGTTAAAACAAAGCCTTTTCAGCAGATCTATCTTCTCTGTTCTTTGGGTTTCAGTGTCCCCAGCACGTCAGTAGAGTTACTCAGACATTCTCCAATGTTCTGTGACAACCCCATCAGGTAGTGATATTCCCTGATCACAGACACTGAAGGATATGGGTAATTTTCCCAGACACACATGGGGAATAACACATGAGACAGGCAGATAAAGCAGCCCTGGTGAATAAGTAGGGGCTAAGGCAGGTGAGGGAGGAAGGTCCAGCCTCATGAGGCCAGCCAGTGTTAGGTCCCTGGCAGGACCAGCAGGTGGGAGGAGGGGACTGTTATCTTGAGTCTGGGATGGATGGAGTGGGTATTAGAGACCAGTAACCAACCCAATCAAGCCCTGAGCCCTGACAGCCAAGGTCAGCAGTCTGTTCATCTACCTATCCACCCTCCTGTTACCTGCCTTCTCCATCTTAGGAGTGTTCTCTCCCCAAAGCAGTTGCCCACTTCCAGGGAGAAGCTCCAGGCTTGGGGGCACCCTGAGCCCATGCTGGCAAGGAAGAGCCAAAGAAGGTCCTAAACTCTATTCACTAGCCTGCCTGTCCGCCCTGAAAACTTGACATTTCTTTCTCTGCTTAAAACTCCCACTGCTTGCCATGACATTTCACATTTACAACAGGCTGGCCAGTTCAGAGGGGCAAACAGCTGCAGCCGAGACCAGGAGCCTATGGCTGGCAACATCAAGTTGGGTCCAATGCCAGCCCGCAGACTGGGGAGGTGGTGTGCTCTGGTTTTCAAGAGCGTTGAGGAAGACAGACAGATGGACATACACACCCTTCTCTGAACACACCAGCCCCTATGTGCACCAGGCTGTGAGCAGCGCACACTCACCCGGGAGATAGTGAGCGGCATGTTGAAGTCCTTGCCCCCCTGTAGACGGAAGCCCCAGGGCCCAGGCCCGGTCAGGGTCACGCTGTAAGACATGCTGGTGCTGACAGTGATGGACTCTGTGGACGAGAAGAGAAGAGTGGAGTGAGACAGCCCTCAGGCACCCTGCCTCCTCAGTCCCGACCAATGCCTCTGCACCTGCCCCAGACCCCAGACCCCCAGCCTTGCCTGCTCTGTCCCTTGCTGTCTGGCCAAGTTGTGTGGAGCTCCTGAGAGGCTCCTAAGAATAGCTGGGAACGAATGCCATCGACACTGATATCTGCCCTCTGCTGCGCCCATAAATGGACTGTAACCTTACACTGTGCCCGCCTGCTGAGGCCTCCCAGGCAGTCCACTGTGACTCACATAGCTATTATAGCCCCTGGGGAGAGGTGTCCTGCACCCTGGGGGCAGGATAAGGTACTGGCCATGTCAGTGATAATGCTCTTGCCTCCCTGCTCTCCTCTCTTCGCTCTCTCTGCCCTCTGGAGAGCCAGGACACACACTCTCTCCCCAAATGCACCCACCCCTTTGCGACTTGGATCATTGCTGCCCTGTGCTCCCTGTTGAAAGGCTGTACCTTATCCAGTGTGGAGTCCTGATGAGCCTTAGGACCAAGCTGAGCTTCCAGCTGGTCTGGACAGAGCTTCAGCTCAGACCAGTAATTGGCCCATGGTTTTCCAGCCATGCAAATGATCATCATAGTAGCAGTAGCTCTGAGCACACCTAAGATCAGCTCTAGGTCCTTCACACCATTATTCCCTCAGATCCTGAGAGGCTGCCACCACAGCAGGAGCCAAGGTTCAGAGAAGTTAAGTGACTTTTCCAAGGTCACACAGGGAGTGGATTCAGGCCACACTGGAGCCTGGACTAATCCCCATGGGACTTGTGTCAGATAATGGGCTCCCAGTGGCCACAGTGCCTCCCAATGCCCAGACTCAGGTTGGGGTCCTGCCCGTAGCCCTCAGCACAGGGTCTGAAAGCAGGTCCAAGGCAGACCCACACCCTGCAGACCTTCTGGGGGCCCAGCGGTTACTCCCGGCTCCTGTGTCTCATTTGCGCTCTGGAAAACTTGACAGCAGTAAGGAAAGCTCCAGCTGCCAGAGTGGCATGCCAGACTCCTGTGCCCTTTGCGCTGGAATGGCAGGGGGCAGGGAGGAGGAGGGGAGATGCCATTTGCTCAGCTGCTGGGATGTGGGGCCAGAAGGGGAGGGGAGGGGCAGTGTGTTCAGTGTGTTCGGCCCACAACCCTGAGACAGTGTGTTCTGAGAGGGGGTCTTGGTGGCTCGAAGCTCCTGCCAGGGTGGTCGTTGGGCCAGGATACCTTTAGAAGCCTTACCCCAGAAGAGACCTTAGGCCCTCGGTTGTCTGGAGATAGATCGAAGCTTGCCATGGCTCCTGGCTGGGGAAACTGAGCCTTGGGGGAGGCAACTGGGTTAGCTGCTCTCTGGCCTTCCCAGAAGGCTCTGGCTTGAGCTGGGCCCCAAGGACTAAGTACAGGCCTGGGTGTGAGTAATTTCCCCCCCTGCTAGCATCCTACCTCACGCCTTGGGCCTGGCACATACAACATGCAGGGTAGAAGGAGTCCCCATATCACAGGGGCATTTGGTAACTTGCCCAAGATTACAAAAACCATCAAATGGAAGAAGCCAACGAGGGACCTGTATTCTTTCCTCCACTTCACCACCTCCTTCCCCTGTATCACATAGCGCAGCCTGTTCTCCCTGCAGGGGCTTGGGCCTGCAGCTTGCAGCACCAATCCCTCCCCTGTAGCATTCCCTGCCCTTCCCCCAGCCCCCATCCATCCATCCCTGACTCCAGCCTTATCCCCTTTCCTACAGAGATCTGTTCTTCCAAGCTGGAGAGGACCCAGCAGCATGAACAGTGTGGGATGAGGAAGTATAACAGTGTTCAGAACTCGCCCAAGCCTATGCAATTCTGAAGCAGAAGGAAGGGGAGGAGGGGGAACACTGGGCTAGACTGTACCTGGAGATGCAGGCTCTTTCTCTGGACTTGGGTACACACTTGATGCCTGAAGCTGCATCAGTGAAAAGGAGGGGTAGTAGAAAGGATGCTCTTAAAGGGGAAGGCCAGCCATCCTCCATCTGCTTCCCCTTGGGGCCCAAGACAGCCAGAGAGCAGCTGGTACCTACAGGCTAGGTGGGAGCTGCTTCTCGGTAACAGCAGATCATTGGGCAGTGGGGATGGGGACAAGCCTGATTTTTGCCCTTCCTCCATTCTGCCCCCCACAGTTTGAGATGGCAGCTTCAGGAGAGTCACAGGTGGGGAAAAGAGGGAAGTGGAGGAAGAGAAACTGCTGTAGGAATCAGAGGGCAGGTCTAGAGTTTCTCTCTAATTGCAACATCAACAGATAGAGACCATGCTTCTCCAAGACCTCTGATTTTTTATTTTCCTATACTCTGTCAGAGCCACACAGCCCTGGGATAAACTTAGACCACTTATTTGAAAGAAATCACAGGTGCAGTGTGTGCACACACATGCTGAGTGTGCATGCAAATATGTACATACAGAGAGTATGCTTGCAAATGTATGTGTGCATATGAGGGTGGAGCACAGTGGAAATAGTACACTGCGGGGAGAAGCCACGGATAAGTAAGAGTTTCCAGTACATGAAGGTCTGTGCTCAGCTTCAACTGCTGGCTGAGGGAGACAAGCGCTGACTTTCCCATGCCAGCAAACTGCCTAGCCTGGGTGCGGAGACAGCTCATAAATAGCTGGTGTGCCCAGCGGAGCCATTGCCATTGTCATCACTCAGACACTCACGGCACACAGCATTTGAGGAGGGGCAGATTGCTCCGGGAAGCAGGAGGGCCTAAGCTCCACTCTTCAGGATGAGCTTGGGGTACAAGCTGCCGAGATGAGAAGTGCATGCAGAACACTTTGCATGGCAGGAGCTTTGTGTTTTGGGATATGAACCCAGCACACCACAAGTGACAGGGCCACTTCCAAAGCCCACAGGTTCAGGGGGTAATCATGGGTCTGTGTATGTGAGGGGGCTGGGCACGTCCAGAGGAAAAGGAGAGCCAATGGTGCCCTATATCCTGGAGTCCAGGCTGGAGAGCAGCACCTTGGTCTGGAAAACAAACAACACACATCTGTTTAGCCTAAGGAATGTCCTGGTTGTAGCAGTCTCCCAGTGACTCTCTGTGGTGAAGGGAGGCTGAATGGAGGGCCAGGCTGTGTCCTAGATTGAGGTGGGCCTTCTCTGAGCTCTCGGCAATGTGGTCTGAAAGATGGAGCAAGAAGTGTCTAAGCTGCCAGCAGGACATCCCCCAGGATGTCTCTTGTGCTCTTGGGCTCCTGAGGTCTGGACTGAGGTCACTTCACCCAACCAACCTATTCTCCACTTTCCTTCATTCCTCTTCCACATGCTAGTATCTCCTTTCCCCATGCTGCCTTCAACACCTCATTTCCGTCCTGTCCTATAGCACCAGCTTCCTCTGGTCTTCTCCCTGCAGCTCATGCCATTCAACATGTCCTTACCCAATCACTACAGAGTGGCCCAGCTCCCCTGCAAAGCTGACCCAGCCCTACTCAGAACCTCTGCTAAGTCCTCCAAGGGCTCCTTACACCCAGTGTCATGCCTGGAGACCCCTCTGGCCAGCAGTCGAGTAGGCCTTCCCAAGGCTCCTATCACCACCTCCTGCCTGTCCCCTTTCTCCTACATGCCCCGCCAGCTCCCAAGGCCCCTTTGGCTGCTTCTGAGGTCACTGAGTAACATCTTGTTCCAGGACACTGAGTCCCTGGGCCCCACTGCATTTGCACAGGCTGTTTCCTCACCTGGACCTCTCAACCCCACCCCACTTCGACCTGGCAATCCCTGCTTTACCTCTACCTTCCCTGGGGAGCCCTTGGGGACTTGCCTCTGCTTTCAACACTCTGTGCACTGATAACTCATTGGCTGTCCTTATCACATGTTAGGTGACTGCTGATGTGCAATCCTCTCTGCCCAGCACCCTACCCCAGTCCCATATTCCCCTGAGGATAGGCATTGTGCCTTTCATCATCGCCCCGCCAGCCTGGGGCGCACAGCGGTGCCTCTGTCCTGGCCTCTGTGGCTGTGCACAGTACCAGGGCTCAGGGCTGGGGTGTGACTCCCCCTGGGGCTGGAGCATCAGGGGAATGGTGCTCCCTGGAACCCTGATGCTGGGGGAGGCAGAGGCTCCAACTGCAGGGAGCAGCCCAGGGCTCCCCCTCTCTGGGACACAAAGGGGAGCAGCCTTGAAGAAGAAAAGCAGGGTGCTGGGGAAGCCCAAGAAAGCCCAGGAGCTGGGGGTGTTGTGTAGGTGAGAGTGAAAGGCGGGGGTGGGGAGAGCTGTCATCTGAGGGGGAGGGGCACCCTCTGCCTCCGGGCCTGAGCATGGCATTTCCACTGTTCCAGAATATAGCCTTCTCTAATCGCCATCGACATTCCATTCCATAGGCACTTGGGCTGACAGCTGGCTTTCTTTTAATAGCCACAAGTATTCTGGGTAACATCCTAATCTCAGGGCATTCACAGTGAGCACATACACAGTGTGTAGCACCCCCACCCAGGTATGTCCAGCCTCCAATCACACACAGAGGTACACACCATCCACCTTTGGTCATATGCACAGCTTAGAGCTGACATGTTAGGGACACTCAATTCCACTCCCTGTGGTGTCACACTGACAGAGAACATGTGCCAAGCACACGCTCACACACACTAGCACACATGCATATATTTATCATAGCACAGCACACCTTCTACCTACAATCACACACAGACACTCTTAAGTGGAGTCTTAGACTACACTCTGACACGCTCAGAGCACCTGGGGGTCATAGACCCCCCAGACCCTCCAGGTGGGCAAGGGAAGGGAAAGCTGGGGTGGTACTTTCCTCCCCAGAGAAGAGGTAATTCTCAGAGGCCATTGGGCCTATCCATGAGAGCTAGTCCCCTTTTCCTGGTCACTCCCTGGGCTACTTGCCCCTTGTCTCCAATCACCTTCCTGGGAGCCTCTGCTTCATGTCCCTGTGGCTTAGGAGGGGCCTTGGCTTCCACGTCCTCCAGGCCCTGACTGCAGGGGGACTGGCCACTCACTTGCTGGGCAGCCCCCCACACAGCTGCTGCCCCCATGTCTGTCCAGCCCTGCGGAAGGTAGAAGAGTCACTGTGAGGTGAAAGCGAGACATTATGCAGTCTTGCTCCTGCCCTCTCCCCCACCAGGCCTTTCCACATCCTCCCCACAATATTCACTAGGGTGAGGCCCATCACACTGTTTGCAAGGTTGCTGGTCACCAAATCCCTACAAACTTTTAGCGCATGGGCCAGGGTGTGTGTGTGTGTGTCTGTGTGCATGTGAGCACCTTCTAAAGTATATGGGATGGGTGTGTCTTTATGAGGTTCTTCACCTCTCTTAAAAAATAGAGTGAAGGGACCTGTGACAGCTCCTCTCTCAGCCCATCAACTAAGACTCTTAGGGGTGGGATCAGCAGGAAGAGATAAGTGGAGGTTCTCAGTGACGCCCACAGTGGACCCTGTAGGCATAATATGGAGGAGCCCGAGTGTGGTGAGGGACAGAAGCTCATGGTACAGGGAGCTCTCCTGGGGACATCAAGGAGCATCACAACTCCAGGCCCTAAGGAGAGGCTGGCAGGCTAATAGCTCCCAGGACTGACAACAGCTATGGGGTCTGTATCCACTCATGGGCACCCTAGCCAGTGTTGGATGTAGAGGCAGCTGTTTCAGAGGACATAGAGAGTCAGAGAATGTGAGTGACTTGCCCAAGCTCACACAGTCAAGAGATAATAGAGCTGAGTTTTGAATCCAGGGCTACTGCTTCTTCCTCTGTATCCTGCGGGCTCTTCAAGGCTCCCAGAAGAGGAGGCTTAATGCTGTGAACCAGGGCCCCTGAGCTAGCTCCTGTCTGTCTCTCTGGAGGCTCATCTGGGACCAAAAATGCTAGTCTTTTCAATCTGTGGCTCTAAGGGTAGTACCAACATGGAAAAGAGATGGCCTGGAGTTGGAAGATCCATTTTTAGCCCTGGCCTACCACTGCGTGACCCTGGGCCAAACCCTTGCTTCTCTGGCCTCAGTGCCCTTGCCTATCAGGGAGGTAGGCATGAAAAAACTTTGGGGAAAGTGGGGAGAGGCTCTTTCTGCCAGAATCCCAGAGTCCTAAGGGTTCCTAAATCTTGCAGGCTGCCCTGCCCAGAGGCCTGGTTGAGGAAGGGATGGCCAGCCATCAAGGGGCCAATATTCTTACCACCTCACTTTCAGAGCCCAGGGACTCCTGGCACCTCCGTCTGGAGATCCAGCTGAGGTCCGAGGCCTGGCTGCTCAGTGTGGAGAGGTGGGTGGAGCGGTAGCTGGTGTATGGGCCAGTGTGCTGGCCCGATACGCCCAACAGCACACCTAGGCAGGGCAGGTGCTGGGCTATGGCCATTCTGTAGGGACAGCACATCTGGTTAAGGCAAAGGCAATGGACAGGCAGACACGAGGAGATGGGGGATGAATGGACAGACCGATACAAGGCTAATGGGAGTGGACAGGTAGCCACTGGGGAAATGGGGATATTCAAACACTGGAGTTATGAGGACAGATGATGGGTTAATGGGAATGGACAGAAAGATACTGGGAGTCAGGAAAAATGATAACAAGGCCAGACAGATGCTGGGGTGAAGGAGACCAATAGACTCACAGGACTGGGGATGGACAGACAGATGCTGGGACCATGGGCCTGGAGGGAGAGCCTTGGGGGAGCAAGTTCAGCCAGGTGCTTGGTTCTAGCTTTCAAGTGGCTGGACCAAGCCACATCTCTGTGAGTGGGGATCTCTGAGCTGAATAGGTTAAGGCATGCTGCTGGCCTCAGCAGGCTTGTGCGTTACTGACACCACCAGGCAAAATGAAGCACTGAAAATGGTCCTGTGGGGGAGGCCAGTGTGCTGGGATTCTATCAGCAGAGAGCGCTCTGGGCCAGAACAATCCCGGGCCTCTGCCAGGGCCCTTAAAGCATAGCTGAGTTCTCCCTGGTGTAGTCTCTCCAGGATGTTGCTGTCTGGAGGCTTCTCCTTGTAGGGAGCAGCACTGCCGATCAGCCCTCCTGGTTGCCTTTGACCTGAGCTCCAAAAGTCCCTAGTTAGCATTGGACACTTCCCCGGGGAACCCTGCTATCCCTCCAAGCTGAGCCTCCGGGGAAGGTGGAGCAGCAGAAGGGTCACACCAACTCTAACCCCACCCAGTGTCACTGGCTGTTCCAGCTGCTAGAGCCCCCACCCAATGCATAGATAAGAAACAGGAAAGACAGTGGCCTCTGTCCCCATTCACCGGCCCAGGTCCTCCATGCCCATGAGCGTGGGCCTGGGGACTTGGGGCTGGAGCCTGAAGTAGGGCTGCACCTGTACTTGGGGTGGGTGATGGCGTAAATGATGGGGTTGTGGATGGCAGAGGCCTTGGCGATGACGGCTGGCACTGAGTTCATGTAGGGCGTCAGGACATGCGCGTACCTAGGATAGAGAAGCTGTGGTCTCCCTGCCAGCTGGACCTCCTGCCCTCTTGGGAATCTTCTTTCTTTAGGCCAGGCCCTGCCAGGGGTGCAACCCAGCCTGGCCCAAACCAGCTGGGCCAAGTCAGCCCCATGTGAGGGACTGCAATGCTAGGAAGAATTCTGTTCTGAAGTGAGTGGGAACCCAGAGAACAGTTGAGGGAGGGGCCGGGGGAAGATGTACTTGGTTGGAGGGTTTCACTGTCCCTTGGAGCCTGTGCTGCCAGCATAAACCCTCTTCACCCCTGCTGACCCTGGTCCTCTAATCAGCTTTTCCCATACCGCACACCAACTCAGATGCTCACACTCCCCTGGCTCTTGCAGAGTTACTTCACAAGAAGGTCCTTGGGGGAATCATTTCTGTACAAGGAGAAGACCTCACACCCAAACACTTGCAAGGATTAATAGCTCTCTCTGCCCCCAAGGTGCTTCTGAAGTCTGGCCTACATCCACACTGCTGCAAATGTCAAAGTCCTCAGACTCTCACCACAGAGGGCTGGAGGTGAGCAGAACCCCTGGCTGTGTGCCCAGGTGAAGAGGGAACCAGACCTCAGGGAGAGCCATGTATTCCCAAGGGGTCTAGCAGGACCTGTAGCCCTCACAGGCACTTAGGCTAAATCCAGTGTGACTCAGAGCTATCCCCACATGTGTCCTAGTGCCTCTAGGAACCAGGCAGGCCCAGCTAGAGGGGAGAATCTCACTGCAGGGAGAGAGTAAGGATTTAAGGCCAGACTTAGGGTGTGAGGACAGTTGGCTTGGGCTTGGGCTTATGAGGAAGAGGCTGCCCCAAGCTCCCATAGCCCTCTTCCCCGACACATCCCCTCCCCCCAGCCCCTTAGCCATTGCTCACCCAGCAAAAGCCATCAAGGCCACAGTGGAGTAGGGGGCCCAGGAGAGCACGAAGAGAAGGATGACTAGCAGCACAATCTTGGCCGTTTTCCACTCACTCTGCAGCCGCTGCTGTTGCCGGGGCAATTCACTGCGGCCCTCGCAGGGCCCGAAAGCCTGGAGAGCCCTAGGAAGGGTATAGAGTCTGGGTCTGACCACCCTTGGATTGCAATAAGTGTCAGGGTCATGGCCACTTTTGGGGAGCCTCCCTGGAGTTGGCCATCCCTTCCATTGCAGGCAGCCCTCACACCTAGAAAGTTCTCCATGACATCCAGCCTGACTTGCTTTCTTTGATTCTACCTGTGGTGTCTTCTCTTCCCCATGCCCCCAGACTTACTGACATGCCTAAACTCCCCTTCTTGAGAAGACCCTGTCTGCTGAGACTTCCGTAGGCACCAGGCTGTGCTGATTTCTAGGCACCTACCCCATAAGCACAGGTGCTCAGCTTGTCTTTGCGCATCTGGAGCTGGGGATGCCCCAGGGGTGGGTGCAGTTGTGAGGTTCTGATGGAGAGGCATGTACCTCTCTCATTTAGCCCCTCCTCCATTCCCAGCTCTTACTGGCCTGTCTCCCGAATGGCCCGGAAGATGAAGATGTAGCAGTAGATGATGACAAGCAGAGGAAGGAAGAATACAAAGCAGAAGAGCAGCATGGTGTAGGCACGGACTGATGGCGTGAAGCTCATGTAGTCCCAGGAGCAAGAGGTCAGCAGCCCCTCGGGCACGTAGGCACCTGGGAGCCAGAGGCAGGCAGGCTCTCATTGTTCTGGGCAGTGCTGACGTGGGTTCCTCGTCAAGCAGGGATTTTTGACATGGCATCTGGGATCCTGGAACACTGACAGCAGCCCCAGCCCAGCCAGTGCAGTGAGGAAGCCAGGGTACATGGAGGGGGAGCTTTCCAACCCTATTCTGGGAGACAGCTGGCAAAGCCCAGTGCTACCCGCTCTTGCCAGTGTGGAGCAAAGACCTCACCAGAGCCCCAGAGTCTCACTCCCCTAGGATTCAGCCAGCTTTTTGGTCCTGCCCAAGAAGGGCTGGTGCTTTGCTGCTAACCCTCCTGCCTAATGAGGCCTCACACCCCAACTCCTGCCTGTGTAACTCACTGCAAACTCAGCATCAGATGTACCTGTCACTTCCTGCCACCCAGGAACCATGTGGTCTTCCCCTCTGTATTGAGGGATGGGAGCCCAGGTCATCTTCTGATAGCTGATGATGCAGCATCTGCTCTGATGCTAGTCATAGCCCCTGAGCACTGGAGCTCAGGTAGTTTTCTGGCCCCCTCCTGCCAGATAGCCAACTCAAGTCTACCTACTTGCTCTTGAACATGCCCCTCCCAGACTGTCCTCCCTTTCCCGATTCCTGCAGCCCACTTACTCCAGCCAAAGAAGGGTGGAAGACTCCAGGCCAGGGCGTAGAGCCAGACACCCAGCAGGACAAGTGCTGCCCGCCTCTTGGACACCACCCCAATGGTGGCCAGTGGGCGTGTGATCACCAAGTAGCGGTCCAGTGCGATGGCCGTCAGGGTAATCATGGAGGTGATGCCGAAGAGAGCCCCACAGAAGGCATAGAACTCGCAGCCTGTGGACACAGCTCCCTGACCTCAGCCCTTGGCAGACAGCCCAACAGATACCCCAGGGGAGGGAGGGTCTGTGGACAGCATGTACTTGGCTCCAGCTCTCACCTCTCAGGAGATGCAGACTGAGCCCCTCTTCACCCTGCCCACTTGCCACATCTGGCAGAGGCTGGTGGAGGCCTCAGAACTGGTCCCTGAGTCTTCCCTGTTGCTAACTCATGGGATGAGGGCAGCTACCCCCCTCTGCCAAGGAAGAGGAAATCACCTTCTCGTAGGGGCCACCTTGCACAATGCATATCCCCTGCCACAACCTTCCTCCCCACTCCAGCAAAAGGGAGCCCTTAGTGTCTACCTGCCTCCCCAAAGAGCCACCGCTTATAGAGGCTGCTGGCAAAGACAACGGGGGCCTGAGTGAAGGACATGAGGAAGTCGCTGATTGCAAGGTTGATAATGAACATGTTGGCAGGTGTCCTGAGGCCTCTGCTCCTGTAGGGATCAGAAACTGTCAGAAGGTGCTTCTGCTCGGTGCTTTCCCTCAGCTACATTGCACATATGTACACATATGTGCACAACTGCTGAGCCATCCCACTGCCCAACAAGTACCAGCCAAACAGCTCTGGTGCCTGGCAGTGCAGGCTGAGAAATGAGACCCTTGTCTTTTGAAGGAGGTTCACTCAGAATGAAGCAGAGAGCAATGCCTCTCCCAGAGCTGCTGCTTAGCCCAGCAGAAGCTGGGTCTGGGTGTCATCCATCACTTTCCCTCTCACCCCCTCTGCATGGTCCACACTCTCTGGACACACCCCTCATTTCTCTAGCTCCTCCAGGCCAGGTTCTCCCAAGTGTCTTGTCCCTAGACTGCCCTCCCCACGTGCCCAAACTGTGCCTCCTTCTTTCTCAGGCACCCTCCACAGCCCCCTTCTTCCAGAGTGGTGGTCTGAGCCCTGTTCAGCACACCTGTGCCTTCATTCCTCACCCTCAGGGCTGGCAAATGGTCTCAGGCCCAGGCCTCAATCTTTAAACTCAGGGAAGGGGCCAAAAAGTAGTCCAAATATATCAAGTGATGCATTCCATTTGGGACCCAGGCTCACCCTCTACATAGAGTGGCTGTCCCTAGGATACCGGGTCTCTGCCCATTGAGGGCAATGGAGTTGATGACTATGTTCCAGAGGCAGGCCCTCTCACAAACCTTGTCTCCTGCAATCATCCCTCTTCGTGTTTACCTTTTCCCCATTTTCTAGATAAGAACACCGAGGCTCCCACTTGTGATGTGGTTTGCTCCAGATCACAAAGCTCAGTGAGTGGCACAGCCATGATTCAAACAGATTTGCTGAGCACTGTGTATACACAAACTTAACCATTACATTGACTGTGAGGTAAAGCACAGCTCCATTTGCAGACAGACATGTTGATTTAACTAGGATAAACAACTTGCCTGCAGACATTTCCACTAATTGGTGATAGAGGTAGGGCTTCAGTTCTCTGCCTGTCTGTCTCAGCCATTCAGCTTGCAAGTAGGGCAGGTGTGGAAAGAACAGGTGGTTGCTGAGAAGCTTGAGGACTCAGCGCTTTGGTGCCTGAGCTGCTCTTTTAGGCAGAAGGTGTATGCCCACTGGGGCAAGCAATGGTGGAGGATAGCTGACAGCAAGGCAGAATGGCCAGAAACCCACTGTTCCAGGGAATATCATCCTATGTAGAGGGTGTGCCAGGGGCCCAACTGGCATGCATCACTTGAGCTACTTGGACTATTTTTTGGCCCCTTCCCTGAGGTTAAAGATTGAGGCCTGAGCCTGAGACCACTGAGGGCTTAGCCCTGGCCTCACTGCCCAAGCTCAACAGTGCCCTGGCAGACCTAGCACCAGCATTTCTGTCCTGTGTGCTGCCCTATTTCCTCATGGCTCACCACCCTCAGTGCCCAGACTGCCCCAACCTCACCAACCAGGCACCTGCAAAATGTATAGATGACTGTCAGATTGCCCAGCATTCCTGTGAGGCCCACCAGCAGGACCACTGCGCCAAGGGTGTAGTGGGCATGGTCCGGAACATCGACTGTGGGGAAGGGGACCCAGGCAGCAGCCTGAGCCCCAGCTACCTGTGGAAAGACATAGAAACAAGGTCATTTCATTATCCTGTCACATTCAAATAGGCAGGTAGGGAAACTGAAGCTCACAGTGCCAAAGTCACTTGCTCACACAACTAGCAAGTGGCTGAGCTCAAATGGAAATGCAGTCTCCCTAAAGTTGAACACAAGCTCCCATGCCACGGCACAGAGGCATAAGGCTTCTAGGATTGGGCTCAGAGCATCTGTTGGAGGCTGGTAAGACAGCCTGACATATGTCTGGCAAGCGGGAACATGGCTGGAATGACTCTCCCTTTCCTTGGGGAGAAGGCAGAGCCAACTCTTTGGTGGTTTCTCCCTGCTATATGGGACCTGTTCCAAGTGCTCAAGATGTTTAGCAGCGGTATTCCAAGCCCCCCTTGACCCTGGGGTAGTAGAGTGGGGTGGAGCCCCTCTCCTCTAGAGTTCCTCCCCTTCCAGAGCCTCAAAGAACAGGCTGTATTCTCCCAGAACATAACTGGATAGGCTTGGCACAAGATGGAGGGGGAGAATTCCTCTTTGAAAACGAAGCTTAGGCCTCCCAGGGTCATTGCAGGGAGATGTGAAGCTCTGAGGCCAGTCTAAAGAGATTTAAGATACCTCCCTCCCCAGCTCCTTTCTGGGGTAGTAGTATAGTCTCTACCGTGCACTGGCCTCTAAAGGAAGGAGCCTTCCCATCCAGTCCAGGATGCAGACCAGCAACCCAGGGTCCTGAGCGTACCCTCAGCCCTCTCCACGTAATGGTGGGGTCGAAGGGTATGGCCCTGGGGTTCTGGCTAGAATGATGGAGGCAACAGAGCACACCTAATGCCTCACTCTGGGCTGGACAAATCCAGGAGCTCAGAGTATGCCTTGTTTTCTGGAAGGCTTCATGGGGCATCCAACCATCCTCAGAAAGGAGTGGATGTAGCCAAGTCTGGGACATTCCAGCCCCCTGTCCTTCAGGGTTGCCCTTTCTATTCCTTGGATGCTCTCCTCAAGGAAAATTGTTCCCCACACTCTCCTCTAGTGGCCTCTCTGTGTAGGACAGGCTCAGAGAGGTCCAGCAACATGCCCAAGGTCTCACAGCAAAGAATAGGCCTTTTCTATCTCCCTACCAAAGCCCCTGTGTGTCTCCAGGATTGGGATCGGAATGGAGGAGGGAAAGCCATGTGCCTGCAGAAGCTCACCTCAGGCTTACCGTGGGACTGATGGGCAAAGGTTGGTCCAGGCTGGAGGTGCTGCTCTGGGAGCTGTCCCACCTGCTGGGTGAGACTGGGGTGGCCACACAGCTGGGCTCCTGTGCTGGGTCCAGTGAGACTCTTGGCCCCAAAGGAGAGTTCATCCTGAAGTGAGTGGTCTTTTCTTGAGCCCACAGAGAAGTCAAGAGCATGGAGCACTCAGGGTGCTAGCTGTGCCCAACCACCTCCCACCTTTCCTTCATCCTCAGCACTCCTGCCCAGTTGGCCAGCTGCCTGCTTCTGCAACCAGCGTGGACCTAGCTTGAGGATGGTGGCTGCTCTGTGTCCAGTGAAGCACAAAGGAGAAGAGAGTGTCACAACTATGGCAACTCACAGCCTTTAAGTAGCATGGCAGGGAGCACCCTCCCCTTCAGACACAGGTCCCTGATGATGGCAGCATGTGTGTGTGAATGTGTATGTGCATGTGAATGTGAGAGTGTATGTCAGTGTGAATGTATGTGTGTGTATTTCAGAGAAGATAGCCAGGCTTAGGCTCATGGACATTGGGCAGACGGCATTTCCTCCCCTCTGACCAGGCTTGCTTTCTTCCTGGAGCTCATCAAGAATAGCCTCTGCCACCCTCTAAAACCCCAGAGCTGTCCAGTGGGCAAGTGAACCTGTGGAGCCCAGACTCATGCTTTCCATAGGGTGCCCTGCACTTACATCCAGCCCTCACGGGCCATCACAATTTCACAACCACCCTGCACAGAACCAAGACTCGTCACCCATTTCACAGATGACGAAGCTAAGACGATGAACAAAATATAAATAGAGAAATAGATCTTACAATCAAGGTTAGATCAGATCATGAAGCATTTTTACTTCTTGTTTTTTTGATAATGAACTTTTTAAATGGAAATAAAAATGTTAAATAACAAAAAAAATGCAAACTTGGTAGAGACCTGGGAGCTCCCCCAGGTCTGCAGTCCTGGCCCCAAGATAGTGAATGTCAGAGTGGAGGGAACCCTGGGTCTGCATCTGTCCCCCCTGGGAGGAGGCAGCAGGAGTGGAGCCCCAGAGCTAGAGAGGGTGAAAGCTGGGCACTCCTTCTAGGAGGTCTGCTGGCTTCTGGACTAGTTCTGCTTGGGAGCCATGTCCTGAGGCACAGTACCGAGATTTGTGGAGCCATGGAATGGAGAGATATGCCACCTCCTCTTCCAGGGGTCCTCCCAGTCTTCTCAGTTTTCCTAGAGCGGCAAATTTGTGTTTGGGGTGGCTGCACCCATCCTCAAAGAGAAGTTGCTGTCCATAAGTGCCAGCTCTCGGCTCAGATGTACTTTCTCTTTCATTGCAGGTCTTCAACTCACAGAGGTTCACCTTAGGTGGTTCCAGGATGGAGATCAGAATGGAGGAGGGACAGCTCTAAGGGTGAAGCTGAGACACTGGCTTTGCTTTCTCTCCTTTAAGTCCAATGTGGACTTGCTTTCAAATATGGGCATTTAACTATTAATTTCAGCTGGGAGCAATTCTGAACCAACATAAAATTCCATTTCACACCCTACCCCACTTTCCAACCCGATAATTAGGAGAGAAGGCAGGTGAAGTAGCTAACAACAGGTTGAAGTGTTTGTCAGACAGCCAAGGAGTGACCACACACCTACAGTGTCATGGGCTCAGAGCCATGGCTAAAGGCCCAAAGAAATGCATTTGCCATACCTGGGGCCTTCGGAAGCCCGTATCTGCTTACAGTGTTGTTTCTTCATGGCTGACACACTGCCGCCCTCAGGGCTGATGCTGCCATTCCTTTGGGCCTGAGTCCATACCATGGTCTCCTGTGGTGCTTCCCCTCTGGGGAGTGCCTACTATGACCATCGCATTCCTCACCTCTGTACCCTATACCTTCCCAGAGCCTGCTGTCCAGGTTAAGCCAGGAGGGCTATGTGGGCAGGCTCAGCCTCCAAGGACAGAATGTTGAACTGTTCTCTAGGGCCACCACTGACCAAGCTGTCCATGCTGTAAGCCACAGGTGTGAGGTCAGGGAGCCCCTGGCTTTCCATTGTTCTCCTCAGATCAGGTGATTCCTGTCTTTCCAGGTGCCCAGCTGTGTCTCCATCCCTGAGCCCCACTCTGCCTCTTGAGTCTCACCCCAAACTTGGCCCAGCCTCTCAAAGGCCCCTCCTGGCTGTCCCGTCCACAGTCCCATGAGCCCCATTCCCTCCAAGAATCTCAGTGCAGGGGTCTTCAAATCCTCAGAGTCTTCCCCCTGGCTAGTGCCTACTGCCTCAGAGACAGGCCAGCACCTCTTCCCTCCCAGCACCAGTAGTTGAGGGTAGACTGACCTCAGCACTCAGAACGAGCTTCTGGTTCCTGGTGCATCTATGGTCCCAGGGACCCCTGAGCTGATCACAGGCTGTCATCCTCACACACAGCTCCTCTCTCCATGCTCTCCCCTTCTCCCTCTCTCTCCTTTTAGCCCACCCATCACACTACAGCCCTAAAGCTGTTTGGAAACACAAATCCCATCAGACAACCCCATGCTTAACACTTCTAAGGCTCCCATTGCTCTTAAAATATAGAAAAGCCCTAATGTGGTGAGGCAGGTAGAGGAAAACACTATAATGTCACCGGTGTATGGGGTTAAGAAGTGGCTTTTGTTGGGGAAACTGAAACACCAAAGGTCAGCAAGCAGAGGCATGCTGTCCTCCTTAGTGTCTGTGTGTGGGGGCCAGGCTGCTCGTCACACCAGGGAACTGTGTGCCAGGGCAGCACCCTGCCCCCACTATTGCTCCTTTTTAATGCAAGAGCAGCCAAACTCAGGCGCCAGGCAGTCTGGGTGTGGCTGCCAGCTGAGCAGAAAGGAGTCTGAAAGCACCAGTTGCCGGCACCTGCAGACCGTACTGGGAGCTGGATTCAGGCCATAGGAGAAGGGGAAGCCTGATCACATGAGCAGTTGAGTTCAGGTACAGACACTCTTGCTCGGGGAGAAGGAGCCAGCTTGGTACCTGGGGACCTGAGCTCTGGGCCCAATCTCGGGAGTCCTCACTGTGCTCTAGCCAGGCTGGCCTCTCTCAGACCACAGAACACACACTGTCCCTCTGCTCTGACACCCAGCCTCTGCTCATGCACTGCTGCTGAACCCTTCCCTGATCCCTTCCGTGGGTCTCAGCTCAAATATCACCTCAAAAAGGTGCCAAGGAAGCTATCCTGAAGACCCAACTGTTCAAACAGCCTCCTGTCCATCCTTTGGAGCATTTGCCAATGGTGTCATTTATAGTGATTATCATCTGATTGTGTCTGTTCCCCCCTCTGGATCATAAACAGATCTATTTGTTTTACTTTCATGGCCCACTGCCCAGAAGAGTGCCCAGCACATTGTTTCAGGAAAATAAAAATCTCCCTGGTACTTGCTTCTCAAATTGTGGTCCACGGACCAGCCACATCGATATCACCTGGAGCTTGTTAGAAATGCTCCAGACCTACTGAATTAGGTGGCCCAATCACACACTAAATGAGATGTTTGCCAGTCTAGATTCTTCAGAGGACTTAGGGACTGGTGACAGGTGGTGGAAGCCAACCTGAGCGGACACTGAGGCAGTCCAGGGATTAACACCAGCAGGATGTGCTGCCACACCCAAGGCTGGATAGACAACAAGAAGTGGGTGCTGGGCTTTCAGGGACTGGGGCTGTCCAGGAGGGCGCCACAGAGACAGTGCTCGCGGACGGGAGCTGGAGCCTTTGTGGGGACATGGCTCCTGGGAGAGGTGCCGTGAGGAGCAGAACTCTGTGACTTCCCTCTGCTCTCCTCTCTGGTCTGACTACTACAGATGCCTCCCAATGGCCAGCCTACCTGGAAGCCAGGGGTCTTGAGATATGTGATTCCCTGGGACAGAGAGAGCAGGTCAGCGAAGGGTGATGGAATAGACATATGTCATCCCTCCACCCTCACCTGCCACTATAGCCAGTAAACAGCATGGGTCCCCCTCTCAGTTCACTTGGGAATTCTTTTGCTTCTGACTTCCTAACCCCACACAGGGGCTGTTCATGGAGGGATGGCCTGATCCCTGGATGGGCAGCAGAGTCAGCTCTCTGGCTGGCCTCTGTGGTTCCCATGGGCCAGCCTGAGCCACCCTTCTGCTCAGCCTAACCTGGGAACCTATGGAAGGTGAAGATCTCATTCATTCCCCCTTACCACCGCCACTTCCACGTACCACACCAGGGAGATCTGAAAGGGTTGAGTGTGCTTTGCGGTACCTGAAGCCCTCGCCCATAGCTCTGTACTGACTCACTGCCTGCTTTTCGCGCCTTGCTTGCATGGCTGGAGGTGGGAAAAGCTTTCCATGGCCCTCACCCTCGAGGGAGTACCAGGGGCATAGGAATGGGAGACCTAAGAGCTGCCCTGAGGTGGCATAGAGGGACTGAGTGTCTGCCCAGCTGGAGGGTGGGGGCAAGAGTATGACAGTATGACTTTTGATGTTAGATCAAGAAGGAGTTATAAATAACTCAGCAATGAACTCAGCAGACAGGTAACCCCACTTGCTGTGGGACTGGAATCAACCAGCATCACAAACACTGTCCAAAAGCTCCCACTGCTGACTTTACTTATAAGCTTTCTGGGCCCTAGAATTCCTGTTCTTAGTAGAGAAGTCCTGGGAGTCCTTGAACAAAAAGCTGACATAAAAGCCAGGAAGGCCTCTGGCTTTTGCACTTCTGTGTTTCAGGCTGTAGAGTCCTGGGCCCAGGGAGACATGTCTCCGTCCTCCAGCCCGGCCTAGCAGGCAGCACTGTAATGGCACTCCCTTGCCATTGCCATCCTCCCCGCTGCTGGGGATCAATTTCCTCCTCCTGGGGAGGCAAGGCCTATCTGGTTACCCAGAGACTCCTGGAAAACTCCTAGGAGCTGATCCCCAGAGAATATTAAATGTCTCAACAAGAATATTCCTGTAAGCACCTGGCCAGGAGCTCACCTGGGCCCTCCCTCACCTGGAATCTGCTGGGTTTCAGGCAAACTCTGTCGATAGGGCTCTCTCTCCCATTGCATGAGGGAAAGACCATAAATGTGGCACCTGAGAAAAATCCTTGCTTTTCTGCTGCCTTACACCACATGGCAGCAGGTATGGCTCCACCTTTTTATCTACCCTGGGCCTCGAGGTGCCACCATGCCACC